GTCCAACCTCACGCCCATTACACACTCTTATTGACTGTAAATTGTCTCTCCTCTTATCTTCCTCCATCACCTGAGCTGCTGCAGTTCACTGTGGATGAAGAATGTATGAGTTTCTGACTTGGCCTAGAAAAAGTGACTTCAAAGCTGCAGTAGGGAACTTTTATAAATTAACTTTCTGTCATGCTTGCTGAAGCTGTCCCTACATCCTGACATAAGTACATGAGACAGACAGAATCCACCAGGCATAAACGAAAAAAATCAGAACTAAAAAAAGATAGTAGATTGAGTCTCATTCCCAGGTTATATAATACCAAGGTTTTTAAATATCTGTAATTTTTCTCTGATTGGTTGTTTTCGTTCAGGTTCACTCGTTTCCCAGTGGATTCTTGCAAATGTCATTAGGAGAAGCCAGAGAAAGCTGTTTTTTTCAGATTATCTGTCTCATGTACTACTGTCAGGATATAGTGAAAGTTTCAGCAAATATGACAAAAGTTACTTTTTATAAAAGCCTACCTACTGCAGCTTTAAAAGAGCCTTCATTATTTCAGTTAAGGTGGTAAATGGTATATGGACCTGTACTTGTATAGCGCCTTTCAAGTCCATCGAACAGAAATTAATCATTTATTCACATTCACACACCAATGCACGGCATCGGGAGCATTTTGGGGTTCAGTATCTTGCTCAAGGACACTTCGACATGCAGCGAGAGGAGCCTGGGATCAAACCGAGACATTTCTGATTAGTGGACGACCCGCTCTACCTCTAAGCCACAGCTGCCCCGCCAGGTGTGAGTTTGCCCTAAATTTGTGGTTTATTAATAAATAAATGAATGGATTATATAATATAATCCATTTCTGTGGTTGGACTCGAGTCGAAACAAAAGAACAAATGCACTACTAAATGCAATGTCTGCAGTATCAAAATAAAGAATGCATAAAGAATCCACATCAAACTATCTGGCACCTAAAACGCATCTGGATAGGTGAGTCACCTGGACGGTTACCAACCATGTTTAACTCAGCATCAGCTATCTTGGGGTCCCTGAACATGCTGGTCCTTTGTGTATGAATGTGTGTGAATGGATGAATTTGACGTGTAGTATAAAGCTCTTTGAGTGAACTGGAAAGGCGCTATATGAGTGCGGTCCTTTTACCATAGTCAATCAGTGGTTAAACTAGGTTTAAAACCTTTGGGCTATCTAATGTTAGCTTGCTACTAGCTTTGTAGCTATATGAGGTTAACTTAATTAGATTGGCATTCGCTGAATATTTTGAATATTCTGAATAGTTTGTTTGCTTGCCACATACAGTGCTGGATTTGCCAACTATATAACTGATACAGTTGTGATATGATCCAGGATTGATAATGTTTGCATCACAATTTTATTTTTCACTGAAAAAACTATTTAAATCTTGATGGTGTGACATTTGTTGGGGTCGGTACCAAACAGATGTCTGGAGATTAAGATTTGTAGGCCAAAGCATCTAATAGACTTGAGACTTGACTTGGAATTCAAAAAATGACAAAAAATTCTGAAAATGATGGAATTTCATGAAAGCCATCACTGAATATACACTTTGAGTGATACGTATGTTGAAGAATATTTAATTTTACATGTTAAATAATATTTAATTTTAGATATAGGCTACATTGACAACAAATTCTAGAAATGAACACTGAGAAAATTAAGACTACATAAAAATGTAAATATATATACATCAGACTACAAGAATTTTGCATATATACTGGGGAAAAAACGGTTTTCATATCTGTGCGTATATTGGATAACATATATAACGATACGATACAGATATGTCTGCGATAGGCCAATATAGGCTGACGGATATATTGGTTGAGCTCTAGTATTAATGAAGAGATGACTTTCATCATCAGGATTTTTCTACCTCTTTAAAAGCCCTTAAACTGTGCAAATAATCTATAAGAAATAACATAATATGTTCCAATCCAATAAATTGCCCAGTTATAGTTCCCTTAGAGCTGCAGCAGATAACTTTTATAAAAATAACTTTTTGTCATATTTGCTGAAACTCTCACTATATCCTGACAGTAGTACATGAGACAGATAATCTGTGAAAAAATCTGGTTCCTCTAATAGTATTTGCAAGAATCCACCAGGCCTGAACGAAAACAACCAATCAGAGCAAAGAAAGACAGAAATGCTTTGGGTTGGTAGCTTTAAGACAGTTGATTGTTGAGCCTCATCCCCAGCATCATTATTTGACGCCAGGCCCAGTGGATTGTTGCAAATATTATTAGGATCACTAGGAGGAGCCAAGGGAACCTGATTTTTACCCAGATTACCTGTCTCATATTCTACTGTCAGGATATAGTGAAAGTTTCAGTAAATATGACAAAAAGTTATTTTTATAGAAATTACCTACTGCTGCTTTAAAAAGTGCCTTGATTACATCAGAACTCATATGATGAGAAAATAGATGGAATTTTAAAATACAAAATGAAGGGATTTAGTTTTATGGCTTCACAGAGGTATTTTGTAACTTACAAACACAAATAAAAGGTTCACAGATGTGTTGCTGACACTTTGTCAAATGGATTTCCCCGACAAGATCAACACATTTGTCCACAGATATTTAGTTTTTACTGATTTTACTCGAGCCAATCAGATTTGAATCCATCGTTTTGCAAATTCCCACATTACTCTGACCAATCACAGCACGGCCTGTATGTTCAAATTATATTTTTCATTAATGAAACAAAAATAACTGCTTGTTGTCTTGACTGTGAGAAATTCTGAATAAAAAGCCCCAAAGTGCCCATATATTTAGCCATATCAAGAGTTTTCCCCATTTATGTCTTTTTAATGCTGTGAAAGTTCTGATTTATTTATTTATTTTTGTTTTTGTTTTTGTTTTCTTTTACTTTGCTTTTAAGATTGTAATGTGCACTGCAAAATGTATTTACAGGTATTCATACTTGAGACCTTTCCCAGGTCAAATTAGTGTGTTTGCTGTTGGGTGAAAAGTCTGTTAACATGAAGGGTCTTAACTTCACAGTAGATGCAGAATCAGGGCAGAGCTGAGATTTCAACCGTCAACCCCAATAAGCTTGCTTCTTCCACCATCCTCAGCAAGTCTACAATGTTCTGTTTGTGTATTCACATGATTTATTTGAGATATGAGCAGCGTATTTCAGTATATTAGCACAGTTATGCGACTGTAACTGGGATGAGAGGCACCGTTTGTAATATTTTAGAAGAGACTGAAATGTACTGATCTACTGTTTACTGTTCATTTAGTGTGGTGTATGTTTTAAATAGTAATATTTAGAAGGTTCAGTTCTGTGTGTGATCAGCGTATGAATATGCTCTTAAAAAGTATTGCATACAGCCTGCAGTAGGTCATTTTATATAAGTTTTATTTCTGACAGTAATACATGATTGGTTGTTTTCGTTCAGGC